CCTCAGCAGAAGCTCATCTTCATCGACTCCTTCGCCTACTCCGACTCCTCCACGGCCACCACCACTTCCGTCGTCGTCGGCAACCTACAACAAGGACGACACTACAGCAGCACCGCCTCCGCCGCAGCACCTCCTCCTGCTGGTGGAGGAGGAGGAGGAGGAGGGTTAAGAGGGAGGGTGAGAGGAGAGTTCGTTCAGCGCTCAAAGAGGAATGTGACAGATGAACTAGAGGTGGAAAGGTTCTCCTCCATCACAAGCATGCGGGGATACAACAACGGAGGCTTTTCTCACATAGTAATGTCCCAATTGAACAATGTCCCTTCCGACATATCCCGTGATGAGCGACGTGTCGGCGTAGGAGAGCGCAAAGGTTTCGAAGAGCTCCTGCTCGCACGTCAGCATAGCAGGCGCAGGATGCTCGAGCAGTACGCGGGCGAAGGAGAGAGACTGTCCGGGATCAAACCTCCTCACTGTCCTGATGTCGAAATGAGGTGGTAACACTCGGTGGGCTGGTTTGGCTGCGGGCTGCGAGTCGCTCGCATCGTCGCTCTGCATGGACTGAATCGCCTTCTTCTTCCTCATGTGCTCAAGGTGCGCCTTCCTTGCTGTCAAGTCATCTCCATCAGCTGCAGGACCCAACACAGCAGTCACATCACCCAAAGCAATCTTGACCCTTGCGATCTTCTTCTTCTTCTCCAGGACTTCTGGATGCTTCTCTGCCGCCGAGGGCAGGCGAACTCCTCTAGTCTTGGCAGGGTTCTCATCGAGGACATGGGCGATGCCTCGCAGGTGCTGGTCCTCCCTGAAAAGCTCTTCGTGCAAACGACGCTGAATTGCTGCCTCCTCCTCGTCGATGCCCTGCTTGGCCTTGAGGTACCTGTTGAGGTACCTGGGCGTGTTCTGCAAGCTCGTTCCCTTCCTCCCTGCTCCCTCCTTCCCTCCTTCTCCCTCCCTCCCCCAGCATGCGCCGACTAGCAGCCCCACCACCAAAGCTGACCTCCAAGTCGCCATGTCACACCTCAATGGCCGCATCCCCGCTCAATCCTTGTTGTTGTGGGGGATGAGGGGGGATGAGGGGGACGATTCCAGGACACAGTCATGCTGATTTGTTTGTGCTGAGCGAAGCGAAGGAGGGGAGGAGGGAAATGGGCATGCGCTAGATGCCGGACGAGGATACGCTCTCCTCTTGACCCTTATCCTCATCTTTGTCGTCCTCCTTCTCCTCGTCCTCGCCCTCCAACTCCCCTCCTCATCCTCGTGATCCTTCTCGTCCACGCTCTTCCTCCCCGCTCTTCTCTTTCTTTCCTGTGTAGAAACTGTTGGAAGCTTTACGGTGGTGATCTATGCTCTTGATGTGTATCCTCTTGATAGCAGAAGACTGGGAGTGGAAGCTAGCTCATAGAGGGGAGACCAACCAATAGAATGGACGGGGAGACGAACGAGGGAAAAGCGAGAGGGCCAATAATTCAGTATAGGGGTTTAGAGTTACTAATGCTACTGCTACTAGTTTTTAAGCAGACTGGGGGGAAGGGGAGGAGAAGGAAGGGAAGATGGATGTAATGGATGAGACGGCGAGGAGAAAGTGAATGTGCGTGACGCCTGTCTCTTACTGCATGCAGGGAGATCTTCGAGGGAGAATGTGTTGAGTCTCGAATGCTGATGAAGTCGATGGAGGGGGTCAGCTCTATGCACGATCCTTCAGAGTTCGTGTCCATTCCTGTTGGGCCCACGAAGAAGGTGGTGGTTATAGGTGCTGGATTCGCTGGTTTGTCTGCCGCTTGCTGTCTGGCAAAGGTGAGGTTGGAACGAGATGGTGATGACGAAGAAGGCATGAGGAGGAGAAGGAGGAGGTGGAAAAGGAGGAGGAGGGGGAAAAAGAGGATGTATGAATAAGAAGGGGGATTAGAGTGAGGACAAGGACAAGGAGAGCGAGGGCGAGTACATTACGAGGAGATGAAAGAGGAGGACAAGGACAACGAAGATAACATTCTTGTCAGGACGGCTTTGATGTCACTGTTTTGGAGAGGCTGCCTGATGTGGGTGGTAGGTGTCGAGCGTGGAAGGTGAGTTAGTTCACAAACGAGGTTGTTAGTTGTCGTGTGAACCCTGAGATGATAGGAGGGAGGATACACCTTTGACATGGGCCCGAGCTGGTACTGGATGCCAGGTGCTGCCATTGAAGCACTCCATGCAATTTGCACTTGCTGTAGCTCACCTCCTCTGGTTTTTCCCTCTCCCTCTCCCTCTCCCTCTCCCTCTCCCTCTCCCTCTCCCTCTCCCTCTCCCTCTCCCTCTCCCTCTCCCTCTCCCTCTCCCTCTCCCTCTCCCTCTCCCTCTCCCTCTCCCTCTCCCTCTCCCTCTTTCTCCAGATGTGTTCGACGATTGGTTCTCCTACTTTGGTCGGCAAACCTCCCAATACCTCGAGCTGCAGCGGCTCGACCCTCCTTACCGGCTGTTCATGAGCAACGGCCGGCCGCTGGACATCCCTGACAGGGCTGGCGATCTTCAGGACATGTTCGAGAAGAAAGAGGCAGGGGCAGGGGCGAAGTTCCGATCCTTCATGCAGCAGGCCGAGTACAAGTATCGAGTGGCCATGAGTGACTACGTCCGCCGCCCGAGCCTCCACCTGTGGGAGTTCTTCGACATACGGATGCTCCGAGAGTCGCTCAGGCTGCAGATGTTCAAGTCGCAGGCATCGCATGTGCGGTCGTACTTCAAGCACCCGGACCTCGTCTCCATCATGGAATGGCCTGTCCTTTTCCTCGGCGGGTCCCCCAAGAACGTCCCAGCCATGTACTCCATGATGAACTACGCAGCGATCCAGCTGGGCACGTGGTACCCCAAGGGCGGGCTGTATCAGGTCCCGCAGGCCATGAAGCGACTGGCTCAAGAGTTCCATGTGAAGATCAAGTGCGGCGACGAGTACGAGGCACAGAAGATCTGTGTGGAGGGGGAGAGAGCGACGGGAGTGCAGACTGCTGCCGGCTTCTTCGAGGCGGACTTCGTCGTCGCTGCTGGGGACTACCATCACATGGAGCAACACCTCCTTGACGCCAGGTCAGCGGCCCTGACAGCTGGGCTGAACCGCTCATGCGCGCATGGCAGGTATCGAAACCTGTCGGAGGAGCAGTGGAGTCGGTTCGTCATGTCGCCTTCTAGCCTCGTCTTCTACCTTGGGATCTCGAAGCGCCTCTCCAACCTGCGGTAAAGTTTGCGGCCCGAGACTGCCCAGCTCTTGACACCTTGTCAAAGTCATCACAACTTGTTCTTCGACGAGGATCTGGAGCAGCATGCTAAGGAGATCTACGATGCCCCGAGGTCGGGCCCCCAAGGCATGCCCGGAAGTGTCTGAACTGACTTTCCCTTAGTTGGCCTTCAAGGCCGTTGTTCTACGTGTGCGTTTCCAGTGTGTCGGATCCCTCAGTTGCTCCTCAGGAACGTTCCTCCTCCTCCTCCTCCTCCTCCTCCTCCTCCTCCTCCTCCTGCGGTCCTCCCTCTTCCTGCCCTCCTCCTCCTCCTCCTCCTCCTGCCCTCCTACTCCTCCTGCCCTTCTCCTCCTCCTCTTCTCCTCCGCCTCCGTCTTCGCCTCCTCCTCCGCCACCGCCGCTGCCGCTGCCTCCTCCTCCTCCTCCTCCTCCTCCTCCTCCTCGTTCTCCTATCTTCTCCTCCTCCCTCCTTCCTCCTAGTTGCCCCACCTCCATCTTCCCCTCCCCGCCCTCCTTCCCTCCCCTTTTTGAGATGACTCTATCTCTTCCCTCAGGGTCATGAGAACGTTTTCATTCTCATCCCCCTCGCTGCTGGGCTCAAAGACAGTGACGAGTTAAGGGAAAAGTATTACAAGATTGTGATGGAGAGGCTGGAACGACACACAGGACAGGTATATTTGGGAGCAGGAGCAGGAGCAGGAGCAGGAGCAGGAGCTGATTTTCTGCAGGAGATACAAAGTGCAGTAGTCATCAAGAGATCATACGCAATGCGCGATTTTGAAAACGACTACAGGTGACCTTTTCCTGTCGTGCTCTCTTCATTTCATTGCCCCCCCTCCCCCCTCTCGAATAACCCATACTACCTCGCCCACTCCTCTCCTCCTATGTTCTCTCCCCCCCTCCCCCTTCTCCTTCCATCATTCCCACCTCCTTTCCCCAGTTTCTTCATGTCGATTTCTTTGCTCACCAACAATTTCTGCAGATCCTACAAAGGAAACGCTTACGGGCTAGCAAACATCCTGATGCAGACGGCTGTCTTCAAGCCCCCTGTCAAATGTCGCAAGCTGGACAACCTCTACTTTGCTGGGCAGGTGATAGAGTATCCTCCTCCTCCTCCTCCTCCTCCTCCTCCTCCTCCTCCTCCTCCTCCTGCACTACCACCACCTCTTCCTCCTCATTCTTCTCGTTCTTGTACTTCTACTTCATGCTTCTCCTCAACCTCTCGACTTCTCATTTCCCTGCCCTGCTCGTCCTCACTCTTCTGCAGCTGACGGTACCCGGGCCCGGCATGCCTCCTGCCCTGATCTCGGGTCAGATCGGTGAGAATCTCTTGTCCCCTCCTCCCTCCAGCTGACCTCCACCAGTCGCCAAGTTGATCAAGGAGCACGGTCTCTCGCCACCCTTCGGGCTCGCGTCGAGCATGAGCGGAAGAGCACTGTCCTACTGGAAGTTTCTTGCCGTTGTCTTCGTGCTGGTCATGATCCCTCCCTCCCTGACTCCCCTCCCTTTCCCTCCCTCCCTCTTCCTCCGTTTCCCTCCCTCCCCTCCCTTTCCCTCCCTCCCTCTTCCTCCGTTTCCCTTGCTTCACTCCCTTTCCCTCCTTCCCTCCATCCCTCCCTCCCTCTTTCTGTTCCCCCGCCTCCCTCGACCCTCCTCAAAGTCCGGTCACTCTAACCATCCCCCATCCCTCCGCCTACCCTCACCCCAGTCTTTCCTCCTTCACAGATTTCCTGTCCCTCTCCCCTCCCGCTCAGTTCACACTCACCGCGTTCGACACTCATGTGGTTTACAGCTCTTCTTGCTCCTGCTCTTCAACAGCTTGCACAACCTAAAGATATAAACATTCTGTCGCTCCCCTTGAGACTCTGAGTTCATGACGGAGCACAAGTTTGTTAGACTTGTACCATGCCAAAGTAATGCAGATATCATATCGACCTCAGCTGCAACAAGATAGTTTTTGCTCAAGACCGAGTTTAATGCACACGAAACAAGGATTAAGGAGCACATTAGAGATAGACTGTATACTAGGATGCTGCATTGCCGCCTGAGCATGCGATCCATTTGTTCAACGCCGATTTCGGTTCCCAGTGTTGCCGTCAGGCTCAGGCGCGCCGGCCTGGCCCGCCGCCGGCGAGTCCTGGTGACCCGCCGGGCAGCGGTCGCGGCTCCCGGTGGACGACCGGACGGTCGGAGCTTCCAAGCCCGGCCCCCGGGGCCCCCCAGTTGTGTCGGACTCTGCAGTGCAGTGCAGTGCAGTGCAGTGCCGCGTGCAGTGCGGCTTAAAACGGTCTCAGTTGCGGTCGTTATTTTTCAACGGCATGTCAACTTGTCTTTTGACTTGATGGACCAACCTGTGGAGCTGTGTAAAATTTGTCGGATGTTTTGGGAAAATATTTTGAAATATTCCGATAAAACTTCAAAAGTTTAGATCATGTGTACCAATGTTTCAGGATACAGATTGAATCTCATTTGCGATGGAGCGAAGGGGGACCGAGGATGACAAGTGGCGAAGTCAGTCAGTCAGTCAGTCAGTCAGTCAGTCAGTCAGTCAGTCAGTCAGTCAGTCAGTCAGTCAGTCAGTCAGTCAGTCAGTCAGTCAGTCAGTCAGTCAGTCAGTCAGTCAGTCAGTCAGTCAGTCAGTCAGTCAGTCAGTCAGTCAGTCAGTCAGTCAGTCAGTCAGGTCATGACTAACTACAAGAGTCAGCGAGATTTACAGGAATTTCGATAGTGTGGCATGAAGAGGAAAACCTTCTGACGTCCTATTTCAGCATGAATGACGGACCAACCCCGCAAATGAGCACCTGGCGGCCCAGCGAAGGTATCTCTATCACGAATGTCATCCTCCCTGACCATGACAGGTGCCGACGCTCTCCATCATTCTAGTAGCAGAGAACAGCAGACCGTCTATGAGCCCAGCGGCATGGAGGCGATGGATCGAGCTCTCAGACTTGTGCGGGAGGAGCACATCCGATGGATGTTGGAGGTGAGGACAAGCTTGTCGCCGGGTTTGATCGGTGAAGGGGATGATGCAGGCAGTGCAGAAGAGGGAGAAGGCGACAAAGATGGAGGGTCAGCTGACGGAGATGGAGTACGCAATCCAGGAGATCTCGATCCTCAAGACGGAGAAGTCTTCTCTTATCTCAGAGCTCGAGCTTGCGCTGGAGAGGATGAGGGACCTGGAGGTAGCGTTGAGTGGCATGAACATCGATCGAGAAGACTTTGCGCGAGCGCGGGTGGAGAGCAAGTCCCTGCTGGAAGAGAACATGCTGCTGCGACGCAATGTGCAAGAGCTCGAGAGCTACCTGGAGCAGGTGGCAGTCGACCAGGAGGCGCATGTTCGGCTGCAGAAGGAGAACGAGAGGCTGGAGAGTGAGATGTCCTTCCTGCAGGAGAAGCTGCGCACGTTCGACCAGTCACAGAACGGGCTGTTCCAAGCGCAGGAGATAGTGCAGGCGCTGGAGGCAGAGATTGCGTCGTTGAAGGAAGAGAGAACGATGTGGAAGGAGCGGGCGAATTATCACATCAAGGAGAAGGTGCAGAATGAGGGCACTGCAGTGAAGTGGAAGGATAAGTATGATCAGGAACGTGCCAAGTATGAGCGGACGAGTGAGGAGGCGGATCAGCTCCGGAGAGAGCGAGAGGCATGGACCGAGAAGATATCCCTGCTCACTGCTGACAGGGCCAAGCTGCAGCAGGACGTTCTCAGGATCAGGGTGGAGAGCGAGGAGTCTGCCATGATCGCCAGTCGGCTGCGGAACCAGAATGAAATCCTCGTCTCTGACCTCAGCAAAGCTCAAGAGGAGCTGCAGCTGCTCCTCAGGGAATACAACGAGCTGAGAAAGCTGCACCAAGACTTCGCGGCTAAGCACTCTGCCTGCACTTTCCGCTCCGCCACCTACACGTCGCGCCAGATCTCTGAGACCTCCTCCCCCATCGCCAGCAAGTCCTTTGTTGGCGTCGGGATCCTCCTCGGCAAACAGGAGAAGGTCAACAATCGCCCTGCTCACATGTACGTTCTCAAAGTGATCCCGGGAAGTCCTGCGGCACACTCAAACCAGATCAGTATGGGCGACATCCTGCTTCAGGTGATGAGTCTCCTACTCCTACTCCTACTCCTACTGCTGCTCCTGCTCCTGCTCCTGCTCCTGCTCCTCCTGCCCTTCATCACGCTGTCCATTTAGATCGACGACATGCCGATGGATGGGATGGACATCGAAGACGCGTTCGAGTGCCTGAGGGGCCCAGAGGGCACCAAGGAATTTCTCTTCCGTGCTGGGGCAGGCGCGGGGTTGACCTCCATGCTCAGGTGACGGTGAAGCTCGCGCGAGAGGACGAGGGAGGGACGAGGGAGCTGCTGGTCGACTTGTCCAGGAAGTATGAAATCATGGAAGACAGAATTTGCCACTGACTTCTCCTACAGGCGGTACGGCCAGCCAAACTCCAGCTGAGGAGCCTTTCCGCTCTTGTACTCCTTGCCAACAAAACAAGACTGAGAGGAGGAGGACGAGGGAGCAGCGGGGAGGTTGGAGTGGAAACAAGAAGCAGTCCGGGGAAAAAATGCTCAACGGGACGAGGAGGACAACACGAGAAACTAAGACAGGGAAATGAATCAACTGGTAAAAGGAGCTTGCTCGATATGCGGTCATGGCATGGTCTACTTGCTCACTTCGCTCACATCGCTGTTCTGACCTGCAACCTCCGTCAACACCAGCTGCTTCGCCCTGGCAGCATCTCACCCGCACCGAGGATCAGCTCCCGTTCGGTCTTGTGCTCCGGCAGCTCGTCCTGCCGTGACTGATAGTCCACATGAACGAAGCACCTGGGAAGCAAGTCAGCCACGTCATCGGGACTGCTCCCTCACACCGCTCAACTTCATCCAGCGCTTCGATGCGATGCTGCAGCTCGAGCGCGATGTCGTGACTCTCTCGCACCGTCATGGTGGCAGGAAGGATCACCTACAACTCAGTCACACTGCGTGCCATCGGCGCAGCCTCGGTACACGGCACACGCTCGCACCTCCAGCTCCACGATGTGTCTTTGGCCGAAGTAGTACACGCGGATGGCGTCAGTCTGCAGGAGGCTATGGTGGGTATCGGCGACCTGCTTGACGTGCTCGATGAACTCAGGGTCCGCACAGATGCCAACCAGCTTGTCGATGTGGTTCTTCGCCAGGATAATCCACCGGAACACTATGTACACAGCGATCAACCCTCCTCCCACAGGGTCCATCCACCACAGGTCTGCGCGCTCGCTGGCAAGAGCAGCCGTCATGATTGCCCCCGAGTTGGAAATGATGTCGTTGAAGTGATCTTCCGCGACTGCAAGCGCGGAACCAGAGACCTCACGCAGCTGGTAGCAGTAGAAGAAGAGGAAGATCTTGAGAACAATGGTCGAGCCAAGGATGACGTACGTGTAGATGTCCAGAGAGATCTCGTGCTCGGAGCTCAACAGCTCCATCACAGATGACTGCATCACTTCGATGGACGCTGCCGACATGATGGCGGCGGAGATTATGACACCGATGGTCTCGAGCCTCGTCTTGCCCACCGGGTAGCGGGGATCGTACCTGGCCATGCTCCATTCGGCGATGGCGATCACTAGCTGAGACAGCAGGTCGACGAAGGAGTCTGCCAGAGTAGCAAGCACGGACTTCGAGTTGGACTTCCAGTATGCAAAGACCTTCGAGAGCATCAGCAGGACGTTGAGGACCAGAGACAGGTTCAGCGCCAACTTCACCATTCTGGCATACCTATCCCTCGAGCTCGGGGTCAGAGCCCCCCCCTCCCCTGTGAGGTCCTGGTCACTAGGATCGCATCCCCAGCCTTCATCTCCTCTCTCTATCCGTTGCAGCTCCTCCGATCCTCCCGTGATCTCGTGAGGGTGGCGGTGTGCGGCCCCGGCGTTGCCTCTGCTTCCCGCGCTCTGTGCCAAATCGGTCTTCACTTCCAACCTCTTCTTCCTGTATCCTTCATGGTTACCTGCCGCCATCTGCGGCCGTTGGGCCTCCTCTCCCTCCCCTCCAAGGAGCGAGTCTCCCTCTCCTTGCAGCATCTCCTCCCCTTCTTCGAGCTGCGCCCCATCCGCCATTATACGGTCCTCTATTCCCCACCCTTGCCCTTTCTGACTTATTACTAGCAGCACACTGCAGCACAGCTAGCAGCCGCCGTCACAGTACGGTCGATCGGACCGTACGGTCGCTTTACCGTGAGCCCACCGTCCGATCCGTGACTGCCCGTAGCCTCTCTGGTAGCAGCTCTGGAAGCCTCTCAGTAGCCTAGTAGGGCCAGTACTCGGGGGCAGTGCCTTCAGTGACTGGCAGCACTGCGGCCCCGGGTCCGGGCCCGGAAAGCACTGCGGCAGCGCGGACCGTACGGTGCAGCTCGTGTGCTCATGATTACTGGCATTAGCCTACTGACCGTCGATCAGATCTTTCTTACAACCTCGTACGTGATCTTATCATAGAGCTGTAGAGTCTCTGCACGAACGAGTCACTTGGTTCTCCTCCCTCTCCCCTCCCGGTGCTGATACCTCGCAGGTCAAAGTTCGCTCCCTCCAAGTGAAGGCAACTCGCACTGCTCAGCAGTCAGCACCAGCACCAGCAGCGCAGGAGGACGAACCTTGCACAGGCCAGAGCGTAGGCGAAGGCTTCCTCGACGGGGTAGTCGTGTACGATCCCGTGCAGCAAGCCTGAGAGAGGGGAGGTGGCAGTCAGAGAGTGCAAGCTCAAGGATGAGGCAAGGAGGGACCTGCGGTACAAGTGTCTCCTGCCCCAATAGGGTTTACAGCCTCCAGCTGAGGGATTGTGAACTCAGTCACGACCACTGCTGCGCTCTGCTGCTCCCCTCGGCCCTCTACTGCTTCCTTGCGGTACAAGAAGGCGCTTGCTGCAGGGACAGCGGGAGGCAGTCAGAGAAGGGAGGGATTGGAAGGGAAGAAGGGGGGCAGAGAGGAAGGCGGAGAAAGTGGAGGCGAGTCAGCATTTGCATCTTGACTGTTGAAGGATGACAGAGGACGTACAGCTGCCGCTTGTTATGGCGAGGACAGCGCGAGGGGAGAGATATCTGCCAGAATCTGTCATGGAGGAACGGGAGGAGCGAGCAGGGGCCCAACCGTTCTAGACAGTCCTTTGCAGCGGCATCCAAGTCCTTTCCTGCACCACCAGGAGGCTTCAACGGACTGTGAGAACAAGAGGTAGACCGCAGGGCCACCTCCCATCAGCCACAGTAGCTCGTCCGAGTTGATCTTGAGCACGTCCACCCGCCGCGTCTGGAGCGTTGCGTTGACCCCCTTCCACCTGCCATGGGCGGCTGAGAGACTATGCAGGCATGCCCTGCCTCCTCGCACCCGTCAAGAACAAGCTTGCAGTCCTGCGGCAGACTTCGGGCGAGCGCTGGTAGGACAACCCATCAGCTCCCCTCCTCCCTCGCCACGTCCACTCACTTGCATACACCTCCTCTGTCACACCAGGAGGGAACGTGCCGCACAGGGCGACGCCTGCAATGTGTAAGCTGAGAAGTCAACGAAGACTAACTGGCCCGCTTGCCTCTGCAGCCCTGCGCAGCAGGGACGATCTTGTCGATCATGGACTTCACATCCTCCGGTGATATCTGTGGGTCGATTGGTACCTCCTCCGCTCCTCCGCTCCTCCTTCGTCCCTCCTGTATGTCGTCTCTCCCTCTTCCTACGTCCGCTCATCCCTCCCTCTGTTGGGACTCTTCTCCACCTCCCTCCCTCCTTGCGATCCTCCTTGAAACTCACGTCAGCTGCTCACCTGATCCGAAGGTTCAATAAGCTCGGTCATCTTCCCTGTCTTCATGTCCAGTAAGGTTGTGCACGTCCTGGTCGATGACGGGACCCTGCGGAAACAAGCTGAGGTTTGACAAGCTGGAAAAGATTTCTCCCCACCACTGCACCAGCTGATCTATGCTCCGATCCTTCAGGTGCTGGTGGATGAATCTACCTTGTTCTTGCTCGTCCCCTTCAGAAGGAAAGACAACAGTCAGTCAAGGTCCTATACCCAACACACTGCAATGATACCAAGGAAATGAGCAACGCGCACGGACCCGACATCGATCCTGTTCGCTGCTATCGCTACGTGCTGCCCTTTCCCTCCGACCGTACGATACGCCTTCTGCGCCCTTTTGCAGTCTATGAGCAGACAGAAAGGGCACAGACGGAGGTAGAAACCTGTTGACGTCTCCAAACTTGATATCATCGAACACGAGAGTCTTCTGGAACGCGGGGTTCAAGCCGACAGCCAACAGATAAGGTTCCCGCTCCTCTTGGTGGACTTGCACATCCTTCAGCAGGTACGAAAGGCTCTCAGACGTCTCCCCGTCCTACGACTTGACCCTCAGCTTTTCACTGCGGACTCATGAGCAGCAACTACTCACAGTGAATGTGATCCTCGCATCTGCGTTCCCCGCCGTCCTCTCAGCTATCTCCGCCATCTGACGCACGTAGGGAACGGCGCCCTCTATCTCTGCCGCGCTCGCTCCATTTCGGGTCTGAGGGATGAGAGTGAACGAGGGGATCACTTACAAGTCTATCCACTACCTTCCTCTTCGTCACGCGGCTGCAGCTGGCGTCCGCCGAGCAGCTGATGAACAGCTTGAGGTCAAACATCCCCTTCAGGTCGCTCCAGTCGCCCTAGACGCTCATGCTTCAGGCACGAGAGGGAGCGCAGAGGCGAGCACGGACCTCATCGAGGAACAGATAGTTGCCCTCTACAATGACGATCCTGAGCATGTACCAGACCGTCATGCACCATGGCAGCTGAGGCCAGGCCTTGTCTCACGGGAACTCCTTGGTGATGGAGATTGCATCTTGAACAGGTTCATGGAGAGTGCGATCGTACTCGGGGCAGAGGACGTCATTGAACTGTAGACATGTCAGGGATGCTGTGAAGAGGAGGGGAGAGAATCACCTCCCGCAATGCAGCCAGGTCTCTCTTCAGATCTCGAGCAGCGAAGGTGGAGGGAAGGCCTTTCACTGGAGTTGGTAAAGTGTCAGAGGCTCAAAATTCTTGTGGATGGTAGACGCGAGCTGACAGAGCACGATAAACTTAAACCATACTTGAAGGTTGAAACTCCGAGGCGATCTGCGCGTTGTACATGTGATACCCGTCCATGCTCAAAACCGCTGCCTGCTCCAACATCACATGATCTAGGAGGGAGGGAGGGAGAGAGCGGGGGGAGGTAGGTAGGCAGGCAGGCAGGCAGGTAGGCAGGCAGGCAGGCAGGTAGGTAGGTAGGTAGGTAGGTAGGTAGGTAGGTAGGTAGGTAGGGAGGGAGGGAGAGGAGACCTTTACAGACATCTCTGCATTCCTGCATGGGATGGAAGTCTCGCAAATGATTTTCAGCAGCTGAGCAAAGGTGCTTTTTCCTTGGGGCCCGGATTACATCAGCAAGCTCGAACAGACTAGCAAGGAGACAGGCGAAACCTGCAGCGGGAGGGCCTGCCAGCCCGACAAGGCATCTTCTTCCCTCTTGTGAAGCTTGCCTGTATCTCTCCATGATAGCTTGCTTCAGAGGGATGAAGGTTTCCAGGAGCTCTCCTGCTTTTAGAGAGACCCGCTGAATGTTGGTCCGATCGAGGCATATCTCTCTCTCCTCCAGTCTCGCAGAAGTTGCCTGCAGCCCTGATAAGTCTCCAACTCGATCGATCGTCCACGGCACCTGTGCAGCCTTGTGGACATCGAAGGGCAGAGGAGGAGGGTGCCTCAACAGCCCCCGCCAGCTATTCCGTGCCAGGGACGCGTCGGGCATGCAGCTCACCATTGCCTGGCAGAGATATCCTTGCAGAAATATGAAGGGTAGCAACGCCGATCCCGAGCTGTATGTCAAGTCAGGGCTCAGACAAACAAAGCAGGTTGATGCCTTTGAAACATTGTAAGCTGATATCACCCTTTAGCCCAAGACAACAAGGGTTTCAGGAAGGGATCGACACAACGAAGGTGATCAAGCATATCCATCAATGAATAACATGCGAATGATGCACAACCAGGTCACACAAGACACAAATGATAGGAGCAACATGCCTCTATCCCCACCTACCCACCAGAACTTCCCAGGAAAAGTGGACAGTAGAAAACACATCCCACCGCGTCATGATCATGTCGAAATAGCTCCGCCTTAAGCTCCTCTTACTGAAAGCACCTCTATAACACCTCCTTGCTGCTGCTGCTGCTGCTGCTGCTGGTGTGCCTCCTCCTCCCCCTCCTCCTCCTCCCTTGCCCGCTTGCGAAAACCAGAACTCTCCGAGTGAAAACTTCCGATCCACAAATCTTTGACATGATTCAAATTGGATTAAATCTTGAGCGCTGAATGTATTCGATTCAGTTCAATATGACTCGAATCGATTGAGTAGTTGGACTCCGGCGAATTAAACCGACTGATTTTATCAAGAGGTTACATCCCTTACTACACATTTTACAACAGCTGGCTTGGGTCGCATGACCCACCGGGAGTTGTTTTTTTAAAAATTTCCTTTTTGACAGAAAGATAACTAATGTTTTCCCCGTACAGAAGCTTTAGAATTCATTTTTGTGGATGTGCTCGGGTTCCATGCACCGTGCAGTAATATTTTCATTAAAACATTTTAAGACGCCTTTTTTTTTTGTGCGAGCTGTGCGTGGGGGTCTCGCAACGAAGATTGCCGAGAGGCCAATGGAGGCAAATCTGCCGGGGGGCGGGGGGGGGGGAACTGTTGGACACGTGCGGGGATGCGGGTTCAGGAACAAAAGGGGGGGGGGGGGTTGCTAAGGCCTTTAAAATGGTATCGATGGGGTAGGGTAGGTATTATTGTGTGACTGCCCCTCACATCTGTCTCTTCCACCCCCTTCTGCAACAGAGTGAAACAGCCTGACATGGGCCGACACCCCTACTCCATGGCAACTTTTAAAAATGAGTTTTTCCACTAGCACCGCCCGGTTTTACACTTTATCCTGCTACCCCACCCCCAAATAAGACACCACGACCTACCCCGCCCCTGCGGAGGAGAGATCACCTCCAAATATAGGTACCAAGGGATTGTAGTCGTTTCGACTACCCCTACTTATAAACCTTGTACCCCTATCTACCTACGTACGCTACCCCTCATCTACCAACCCTACCCGTTATTTACCTACCCCTTGAGGTGGGCGGAAAAGCCAAGCAGAAAAGCGTCTAGTAGCCCTATCTCCCCATGTAAAGCACTTGCCTTTTTAAAAAACATTATCAAAAATGTTTCTACCTGATTTGACTATAAATGCATTATATTCTATCCTTGAGTTGTAAACCTGTACGGAATTGGTAAAGTTGATGCATGCTTTGTATGAAATTGGATTTTTCCTTTTAGAGATTAGTTGTGATAAATTGTTATTAACATATACAATATTTTATTTTGTACCTGGAACAGAGAACCGTGGACGCTGGTGGCAATGGTCGTGGACGCCTGACGGCGGCGTGGAAGGGAGAGGAGGAGGAGGAGGAGGAGGAGGCTGGTAGACGCGCCAATTGTACAGGTGAGAAAGATGCAGATATATAGATGGATATGAGTGTGGGCGGAGGAGGGAGGGTGCATTGTTTGAAATGTTGGATGTGCGTTATTGAGATGGAGGAGTGGCTGCGGTATCCTGGCAGCGTGTCTTGTTTGTCCATTCCACCAATGCCATGCTGTGCGATATTGGTTTGTGTGTTTTTGTTGTTGTATGATATGATGCAGTTTTTCCCATTGAACGCTACTGGTGTGGTAGTGTTGGTGATGTAGAAAGGATCTCACCGTGATAACACACAATACTGGATACCTTTCTAACGCGGCTCATCACTTACTGCCAAGCAGACTATCGGCTAAGGCTTTCTCTTCTCGATTTCGTGTGACTCCACTCTTTTGGAGTATCCGATCCTGAGCTTCCACCGTGCTGAGGCATGGGCATTGCCTCGTCTGCTTTTCAGGAGAAAGTCATGTTCCCTGAGAGAAAGCACGTTGAACTACAAGTCATCTCGGAAGATAGAATCAATGGACTGACCCTGGATGCGAGCCGAAGGGAAATCACGTCAATATCGATCGCACCGATGAATGGGGATCCAATTCTTGTGCACCTTGATCTGTCGAAGAATTATTTAGTGCGGTATTATAGCATGGGGTTCGCGCATCTGTTCTAATATTTGTTCTCAGGATTCCTCAAGAGCTGTGTGATATTTACAGCCTCGTCATGCTGAACCTCAGTGACAATTTGTTGGACGAACTCCCCCCTGGAATTGGTAGGTTGGCAAGGCTTCAGAATTTGCATCTTTGTGGGAACAGACTTGGTTGCCTCCCATATGACATTACAGAACTTCAGAACCTACAGAGGCTTTCTCTGGAAAGGAATCAATTCACTACAATTCCGGATTTCTTGAGGTTGTTGCCTCAAAACTTGATGTCGGTGGATCGCTATTTGGTGGAGGGGCCGAAGTCTTGCTGCTCGAGGTGTCCGAACAAGGACGGAAGGATGTTGGTTGCTGCAAGACAGACAGGTTTTGCAGTCCCGAATCAATTTCGTGGAAACGAAGATGTGGCGTATGGAACTGCTGATGAATTGATCATTATGAACTTGTCTACACTAGCAGGTATCTATTTAAGACCTCTTCCTAAATTCCTCATTCGTTTCTGTGCAGTTGGTTGCGTTGAAGGCCGATGCAGACATGCATTTCTTCAAGAGGATGATGAATCAGAAAGCAACAATGATTGCAGGTTTGATTGCACCGATTGGAGCGAATCTGCACCAGGTGCTTCAGAGGATTGCGATAACACTGGTGAGGATTCGTTGTCATGCGATGCTGTGTCACAAAATTACGTCTCAATCGTTCACATGCTCCGGAACCGTGAATGTGGGCAGACGCTATCATGCAAACGGAAGCTAGAACGGAGGGTTGTGAATGCATGTTCACAAGGGACTTGTAACGCAGTGAAAAACAAGAACCTCGTTCTTGACTCCTTCGGATATGTCGCTGATTTAGATGGTATCAATGATACCACCAATCCTCACCGTGAGCCAAGAATGTTCCAACATGAAGGAAGCAACGAGCTAGGATCGCTAAAGCTATCTGACTCGAGTCCGGAGCAATCGCACCCAGAAGTCACCCTGCAAGACTATCCTGCTTGGTTGCGAACCAACGCAACAGGATGTTGTGTGAGGCATGGAGTTTCAAGTTGTTGGGGAAAGGCGGAAAGGATCAATGCTCAACTGGCTACTATATGTTTGAGATCGCGGAGAGAGGTGGGTCGATGTTTTGAAACCAGCGATCTTGTATGTGCTGACTTGATTCTACTTTTAGATCGAAAGGCACACTCACAGAATTTATTGCTGCAAAATCGGCTGTAAGGGAGGTGTTTTGTTAACCGCATCGCAATGCGGAAAGATACTGGTATATGATGGGCTGGGAAAGAGGTTACAGAAATCTATTGTTTGCCGATCGCTCGGTTGGAGTGTTCTGGACATGGACATTTCCCGGGATGAAAGGTTTTGTGCATACTCTTCGTGGACCCACAATGTCCAGCTGTGCAAACTGGCCGACAGCTCTCATGAAGAGATGTGTCTGGATTTGGGTTTCCACGCAGGAATCTTTCAAGTGCACTTCAATCATGTAACAAGTCACTTACTTGCAGCGGTGAATCATGGATACATTGTCTATCAGGACATCGAGACTAAGAAGAAATTGCTACACATTCGAGCCCACGTTGAGGATGTCAACTCAACATGCTTCGTCGATGCACAGTCTGACAACTTGATAGCCTCAGCAGCTGATGACAACTTCATTCGCATCTGGGACAGGAGGGTCAATGGCGGATGCTCTGAGAGAGACAAGCCTGTGCCAGTCGCTTGCCTCCAAGGGCACCTTAGTGGGATCACCTGTATCAATTCAAAGGGAGACGGGAACTGGCTGCTCTCAAACGGCAAGGAAGGCAACATGTTGCTCTGGGATCTCAGGAAGTACGGTGGCAGCAGCGGCTGCTCCCGCTACCCGCTTGTCTGCTGCTTCACAGGCCATGAGGTGAAGACGACGCTGATTCGATGCGGCTTCTCGTCCGAGGAGGGCACGGGGCAGAGGTTCGTCTACAGCGGCTCATCAGATGGCTCCACGTTCATCTGGGACGTTGAAAGGTGAGGGACTTGTGTGCTTGAAAGGTGCTGACTTGACGTCCAGTGGCAACCGTGTTGCCATCCTTCCCGGTCATCGCGAACTCGTCCGTGAGTGCTCCTGGCACCCGTTCCTTCCTCAGTTGGTCACGTCAAGCTGGGATGGAACGGTTGCTGTGTGGGAACCTTAAGGGAAAGCGCGTTGGAGGGGCAGGTGCTTGGCGAGTACATCAACAGGAGCGGCTGCTGCTGCTGCTGCCGAAAGACGAGGGTTTAATCGTCAATCGACTCTATTCATTCTTGACCGAAAAATTGTCTTATATCATTGAATTCTGTAACGGATCGTCGCCGGAATAAGATGACACCGCAAGGTTGACATCAGTAATCACACAGGCTACTAGTGACTGCTCGGGGCCCTCTTGTCACATGTCAGGCCACTAGATTTCACACGACCGGCCCTCAGTCGTACTGCTGGTCCGATCCCGGACCGTGACCCGGAGAGCCGGGACGGGCCCGGCGGCGCCGAGCATTGCTGAGTGATGAGTCAGGACACTAGTAGTAGGGATCCACTGACGAGTGGACGCATCTGTTGCCCAGGAGGAGATGTTGAGCAGGAGAGCAGGAGAACCCGAGGAGAATGCTCGAACTTTCCCGCCCAGCATAGCATAGCACTCCCTTGCTCCTGCATAGCCTCATGGGCTTCCAGTAAATGAGCACGCTAGGCTTCTTCCTCGCGAGCTCTTGGCTCTTGACCACCCTGATCGAGACCTCTGGCGACTCTCCGGGAACAGCCACTCGAGCGAGACGATGGGAGCCCCCAGCCCTCCAGCACAGGTACGAGGATGCAGACCTGGGCATCACGCAATTCGTGCTGCCGGAGGATGGGGGGATAGGAGGTATCTTCAAGTGGAGGTGGACCGACTTCAGGGTGAACGAGAGGAGGGCAGACGGGTCAACCGTACGGCTGTTTGACGGTGAGTCTCCGCTGGACTTCCTCTCCCTCCCTCCCTCCCTCCCTCCCTCCCTCCCCTCCCTCCCCTCCCTCCCTCCCTCCTTTCCCCGTCCTTCCCTGTCTGCTTCCACCTATTCTCCTTTTGTCTGATGGACTTCTGCTGGCAGATCAGAGCCTACCAGAGCAGCCATGGCCGCTACTGGACTCATTCGACGATTTTCTGTTCCACATGGAGCAAGCTTTGCCCGAGGCCGCGTCTCGCAAGCTTCAGGCAGCATGGCCGAGAAGGGAAGCGTGGTCAGCTACGGCAGAGCAGATCCTACGATCAGCAAAGCGAGTCCAAGTGTGTTGCTTGCAGACAGAGAGCCTCGAGGAAGGGGAGAGGATGAGGAAGACGATGTCGTCTTACAGCTGGAAGAAATCTCATGTCAAATGCGTTGTGAAGGAGGAAAACGGGCAGGTCAGAATCTACATGACGAGGAGGAGCACAGCTCCACAAGCTCAAGTTCTATCTTGTACCTTGACCAAGTGCGGCTGGGATACCCTGAGCATCATTAGAGAACTGAGCTTCATCCTCCGCATCCCTTCCTCCAGCATCACCTACGCCGGTTCCTTTCCCTTGCCACTTCTGCTTCTGGCAACTCTTATGATTTGGCGCAGGAGTCAAGGATAAGGCCGCGATTACAGAGCAGGTCGCCTGCAGTGATGTATTGATGTATGTCAAGGGAGTTTTGATGTTACGCTGTCTTGTTGTTCTTTCTGCCATGTCATGCTCCGTCATTCCATGGTTTTATGCTAGTTGTTTCGTGTAATGGATCACCGAGTGCAAGCATGTAATTTTTGAACATGTTTGACTTGCTTTGAAGCTGTTATCCTTCGAGAATATCTCCCCACGGCGACTTCTAAGTCTGAACAATTCTTCCCGGATAGCTGGGATAAGACTGGGAAATTTGAGATATGAAAGGTAAAGCCTCTCCCCGGCTCGAAGAATAAGAGCAGCGGGAGGTGGGGTATGGAAGTAGCAGTCAGGACAGAACAGAGGAGAAGGGGGAAGGAGAGAGAATCGATGAAAGGAGGGGAAAAGAATGAGAGGGAGAAGGAAGGACACGGGGAGAGGAGGGGGTTAGGGGAGTAAAGCAAAAAGAGGAGGAGATGGAAGCCTGACAGGGCTGGCAGCAATGCAGTCAAGATAGGGAGCCACTCAGGGAATTGTTTCACCATCCTGCTGCGCCATGTGACTGAGAGCCCCGAGAGGATCAGGACGTCTGTGATGTGAGTTTTATCGACACATCCTCCTGCTCCTGAGCCATGGCAGGAGCCTCGCGTCCTCTGGCTTCGTGAACTACTTCGGCCATCAGGTCCAAACATGCAGGTTGAGGAACGAGGGTTGACGTGAAGGACAGAGGTTCGGCGACGGAGGAGGAAGCGGGTTGCCACCGATCGAGGTAGAAGTGGAGATGGGGGAGCAGGACGACGACAAGGAGGAGGAGGAGGAGGAGGAGGATGTGAATGACTGGACGGACTCAAAGCTGTGAAGGTCGGGAAGCTGCTACTAAGTGGGAGATGGAGCCAAGTGATCAAGGTACTTGCAAGATGGCGGGAGAGCACTTGGAGAAGAAAGAGAAGTAGGAGGACGAGGACGAGGACGAGGACGAGGACGAGGACGAGGACGAGGACGAGGAGGGGAATGGAAGAGGGAGTGGAGGAAGGGGAGGAGGAGATGTTTGGAGAGGCAAATGGAAAGGAGAACTGATGCCTGACGCAGGCGATGATGAATCCCAACTGCGTTCGGTCAGAGAGCGAGAGAGAGGCCAAGAAGGTGAATGGGAAGACCTGAGGGAGAGGGGAGGGGTAAATAAGAGAGAAGACAGAAAGGGGGAGCAGGAGACAGGGGAGGGAGAGGAGGGGAGAGCGTCTGACATTGTGGAAGGCTTTCATGCAATCTCGTCGAAGCGACGCGCTGAGGCTGCTGCCGAGAAGTTGTCATGACGAAAGAGTTGCTTTGCAGGTAAGGAAGAAAGGAGGAGCACAAGAGAGAAGGGAGGAGAGGGAAGGATGAAGGGAGAGGGAAGCAGGAGCAGATGAAGCAGGATGAGTTGGAGGTGACGGTATTAGGTTTCCAGAGGCGAGCAGAGTCAAAGGGGAAGGAGGAACGTAGAGAGGATGGAATATACCAGAATCGACAAGCGGACAGGCAAAGTTTTTCTGATTTTCTGTGCAAATAGAATCTTCTTCGAGGATCTCCAGATTCTCAAACCTGTCGATCTCTCCCGCACAGGTCAGAGAGCACCTGCCCCTCCTGCTCCTGCTCCTGCTCCTTCTGCTCCTGCCTCCTGCTCCTGCTCCTCCTGCTCCTCCTGCCTCCTGCCTCCTGCCTCCTGCTCCTGCTCCTACTCCTACTGCTCCTACTGCTCCTGCTCCTTGAGGAGTGATCCTGATTCTGCACCTCCTCCTTCTTCTCTTAATCTTACTCCTGCTCCTCCTCCTGTTCCTGCTGCTGCTGCTGCTGCTCCTCCTCCTCCTCCTCCTCCTCCTGCTCCTCCTCCTGCTCCTCCTCCTGCTCCTCCTCCTGCTCCTCCTCCTGCTCCTCCTCCTGCTCCTCCTCCTGCTCCTGCTCTCCTGCTCTCCTGCTCTCCTGCTCTCCTGCTCATGCTCCTGCTGCTATTTATCGTGGTCCTCTCTGCCTCATTCCTCCTCAGGACGCTGTTCATGTGCGCTTACTGGAGTCACGTGTGGAACAGACTGGCATCCTACCGTGTGAGATATTGCAAACAGTCTTCCTCCTTTTTCTCGTCCTCTCCTTCTACCTATTTTCACCTCCTTCCCCTTCGAGCTCCTCTACTTCCTGTCTTTCTCCCCCTCCTGCCACCCACCACCTACCTGCTTGTTCTCTTTCTCGTCCCCTTCCCTCCTGTCTCCGCCTACCCTAACTGTCCTCCCTTCTTGTAGATCGAGAAGTTGGGCAATACACTTGCAGTGGGAGATCTGGTCAAGTACACGACCAGCCCTGGGGATGGGGACGAGGGAGATTTCAACCTGAAGGATCCCGCGGACATCTCCATCTCTCCATCTGAAGCCATCCACATCGTGCAAGAGCAAGACATCCGGGATGAGAAGTTCTCAGTCTTTGACATCGTACTTCCTCTACCTGGTCCTAATATACCTGCTCTCACCCCATCCCTGCACTCCCTTCCTCTAACCTCCCCTCCTCTTCTCCCTCCCTCTCCTCTCCTCTCTTTCTTCTCTCCTCCCTTCTCTCTTCTCTCTCCTCTCTCCTCTCTTCTCTCTCCTCTCTCCTCTCTCTCCCCCTCCCCTCCTCCTCTCGTTATATCCCATCCCGTCCAGTCTTCCTCAATCAATCTCATCTGAACATCCTTGTGAGCAGGTAAGGGTGTTACCATGCTCTGGCCGCACAACGACGCGGGTGAGAGCGAAGGGTCTCCTCGCAGGGTCGCTGAGCGAGGGGCACAGGAGACTTCGTGAAGAATGTGTTGAGAGAAGATGGCTTGCTGAATGCTGTGTGACCTCCCCTTGTCATCTACATCCTCTCCTCACCCTGCTCCCTCCTCCTCATCGTCATCATCATCATCATCATCATCATCATCATCATCATCATCATCATCATCATCATCATCATCATCATCATCATCATCATCGTCGTCGTCGTCGTCGTCGTCGTCGTCGTCATCATAATGCTCTTCCTCCTACTCCTACTCCTACTCCTACTCCTACTCTTCCTCCCATCTATTCTCTCCCCCTCTTGTCAGCTGTTGACGTTTCCCTCTTCAGGTATTGAATCCTTTCGCTCCTTCCGGTTTTTGCGTCTTCCGAAACCTGTTCATGAGGCCGCAGAACTTGAAATTCAAGGTGAGGTGATGAGGAGGAGGAGGAAGAAGAAGAGGACGAGGACGAGGACGAGCAGCAGCAGCAGCAGGAGTGAGAGAGACTGGGAAAGGGGCAAAAGGAAAAGGGGAGTGGGGGTTTATTGAGGGAGGAGGAAGGGAGAAAGGAGGATTTTCTAAGGTAAACAGAATGGGAAGCGACGGGAGGAAGGAGGAAGACGCCTGACGTTGGGCTTGCAGGTTTTGAGGTACAGCAACGGGACTGACGGCATAATATGCGGGAATGACCCTCGGACAGGAGAGGTGTGCGAGCATTAGGAGACGGGTGCAGGAAGAGCGAGGAGGGGGGGGGAGAAAGAGGAGGGAGGAGGAGGAGGGAGGGAGGGAGGAGGGAGGAGGGAGGAGATAGAATCTGAACATTACCAGGTCTCCTACTTTGGGACGGAGAAGCTGAGAAAACACAAAAAGGCTGGGAGAAAGAGCTGGTTTGCCCTACAGCTGAGGTCGAACCTGTTCTGACTTGACCTTGACTCTTTATTGCATACGCCAACTGCCTCCCTGCGCTGACTTTCTGCTGCTTCTTCCTTCCTCCAGGTTCAACCTGCCGAGCAATGTGTTTGCAACGATGGCACTGTGAGAGGATTTCCCTTGTGAACCTTGACGTGGCAGCAGCTGACACTCTATGAAGACGCGAGCTGTGCAAGGTACATGGAGGTGTTGTGGAGCAGTACAAGAGACGAAAGGTGATGCGATTATGGTGGTGGTGATAGTGATGGTGATGGAGATGATGGTGATGATGATGACGGAAATGATGATGATATCGTGATAATTTTCATGATGACAATTGAGACTTCTCTTACAAAGGACGCGGAGGATGTAGAAGCAAAAATCTCAAAGCCACTGAAGAAGAAGCGGCTCAGAAAGATTTTGACAAGAATGGAAAAGAAGGTTTGCAAAGGAGGACGAAGATGGAGCGGGGCGGTGATGGAGGGGTTTGAGGAGGAGGAGACAGTGGAGAGAAGCGAGAGGGGAGGACGACGAGGATGGAAGGAGAAGTGGCGGGGGGAGGCGAGGAGGGAAGGGAATCTGAAGTTGATGTAGGGGATCAAGGAGGATTGGCGAACAAAACTTGCAGATCAGCTGGCGAGCTGGCGGACGAATGGTTTTCATAGTCGAGCAATCAGAGAAGAAAACATTGGTGGAGATGATCGAATGTGAACAAGTGAGATGAACAAGTGAGGTGAATGAAGGTTGATATTGTATCAAAGATGATATTTTGCCAAAGATGATATGGTGTCGGGGATGTATGCGGATTATTTTCGTGTGGATATATGAATGAAGACTCGATATACCCTGTGAATGATGGGAGTACAAGCTATCCCCCACGGAACCAGCGGAAAACTAGAGTGGTTGAATCGAATACAATGAGTTTTGAAAACGTTCTTGAAGGACCGAGGATGATATCGAGCAGGAGCAGGAGCAGGAGCAGGAGCAGGAGCAGGAGCAGGAGCAGGAGCAGGAGCAGGAGCAGGAGCAGGAGCAGGAGCAGGAGCAGGAGCAGGAGCAGGAGCAGGAGCAGGAGCAGGAGCAGGAGCAGGAGCAGGAGCAGGAGCAGGAGCAGGAGCAGGAGCAGGAGCAGGAGCAGGAGCAGGAGCAGGAGGGATCGGTGAAGACTTTGACATTTAAGATGAATCTGAACTTCAAACTTTCTCCTCCTCTCCTCACCACTCGTCAATGACTTTTCCTCCGTCGACCGTGTTCCATGCGAAATTGATTCTGATCCTTGCGCTCAACAGCATCGAGACTCTCCTCGTCTTCAC